ACCACCAGTCATTCCTCCAACAGAAAATGAGCATGATGAACATGATGAGAATAATGCTGAGGCTAGTGCTGAACTGTCAAATGAAGGAGTGATGAACCACAGGAGTGAGGAAGAGCGGGTAACAGAAACACAGAAAAATGAGCGTGTTAAGAAACAACTCCAGGTACTTAAAATTTGCGGTTGTATGCACATTCAAATTATATCCTGCATTGCTCCATCTGTTCAGACAAATGTATTAAAGAGGAAGATATCATTCGTAGAAGCCTTAACACCAGATGACCACGTGTTAGTCTCCTGAGGGCTTGATGTACCATCATTTCATCCATTCACAAATCAGCAAGGTTTGTTACTAGTGTCATTTGCCAAGAGTCGACACTGACTCAGGGCCGCCACGTATGTTCCAGAGTAGAACTGGGCTTCACGAGGTTTTCAGTGGCTGAAATTTCTTAGAATTAGATTGCTAGGCCTTTCTTCCAAATGTTTCTTTGCCTCTGTAAGTCATAGAAACAGTGAATTATTTCATTATTGGTTGGCCCATTTTAAATGGTAGAGAGCAGCCTAAATTGTGTGTTTAGAAAAGAAAGAAATGTATTTGAATAATGAAATGTATGCTGTAAAACAATGATATTTAACAGGTTACCTTTAAGCTTGTAGAATCTGAATTGTGTGTCCAGATTTCATAATGGCAGGTCAGTTTAGATCAAAATAGGAAATTTTAATACTGTTAGAACTTTATTCAGATCGTTTTAATTGGTAAAATACTTAAATATTAATAAAGGAAAGGCAATGATAATTGTAATCTAGTCAGACTTTTGAAGAAGGTTCTTGTGGTAGGCTTTAGATCTTACATATACTGCTCATTGTCATTGATTCAGGTGCATCCTGACCCTGTGTGTTACTGGTAGAACTGTGCTTTAGAGGGTCTCAGTGGTGGATATGTTAAAGTAGACAATCAGAGCTTTGTCCTGGGGCACCTGTGGGTGGGCTTACACCTTCTACAGCCAGTAATGTCAATCATTTGTTACCACTCAGATCCTTCTGCCGACTACAGTAAACCTTCTATAAACAGTTACAGTTCAGTAAACCATTACAGTCAAATTGTTGGATGAAAAAAGTAAGCCCATTTGGAATAATGTACATAGTCGATGAATGTAGACATTAAAGATTCAAGTATTCTTTCTCAAACATTATGCCCACCATTACAAATAACTGAGTTTAAAGAAAAACATTTTCTGATAGAAATTTAAGTATCTTAAAATGTCAAATATATGTATCTTTACACAGTATTCTTAAGTTTTTAAAATCTGAGGAAAAAGATAATAGGAGTATTTTTCTTTTTCTTTTTTTTAAATCTAGGCGTTAAGTTCAGAATTGGCTCAAGCCAGAGATGAAACCAAGAAAACACAAAATGATGTTCTTCATGCTGAGAATGTTAAAGCAGGCCGCGATAAGTACAAGACTCTGCGACAGATTCGACAAGGCAATACAAAGCAGCGTATTGATGAGTTTGAAGCAATGTGAGAGCTGTTACTTTGCATACATGTTCTTCATAAGCTGAACCACCAACAGAGAAAAGCAGGCCTTTG